TTAAGCACTAGGTTGCTATCTGAAAGGTTGGTGGTTCAGATCCAACAGCCACTCCATAGGAGAAAGATGAGGCAGTTTACTTCCATAAACATTTACAGCCTTGGAAACTGTATGGGGCCGTTCTACTTTGCCCTGTAGGATTACAAGGAATTGGAAGTGACTCGACAGCAACGCATTTGCGGGTTTTTTGGTGTCTGAGGAGCCATGTCCCTGCACTCTCAACATTTGTTTCTCAAAGACGTTTTATGACACTCTACTTAAAGGGTTCCGTTTAAGAGAAAATATTTGCATTTATTTAAAAAATGTAAAGAAAACATGAGTTAACTTCTTTCTCTAATGAATTCTGGCTGAGCTCACCTTTTCTTAACTCTTAAAATCTTCAATTTCATATTCAATATTTAAATCAATTTCTTAACTAGTCAAAAATTATGCAAGTTTTGGGTTTTGCTTTTAGCACGTTCTATGTAATAAGGAGCTCTGGTAGCGTAGTGGTTACGAATCGGGCTGCGAACCTTAAGGTCAGCGGTTCGAAACTACCAGCTGCTCCGCGGGAGAAAGATCAGGCTTTCTACTCCCGTAAAGATTTACATCCTCGGAAACCCTGTACAGGGTCGCTATGGGTCGGAACCGACTCGACGGCACTTAACAACAACAATGTAATAAGGAGCTCTGGTAGCGTAGCGGTTATGAATCGGGCTGCGAATTGCAATGTCAGGAGTTCGAAACTACCAGCTTTCTGCAGGAGAAAGATGAGGCTTCTTGCTCCCGTAAAGATTTACAGCCTTGGAAACCCTGCACAGGATCGCTATGAGTCAGAACCGACTCCACGGCACATAACAACCACAACTTGTATAAGAATTGGGCTGCAAACTGCAAGGTCAGCAGTTTGAAATTACCAGCTGTTCTGCAGGAGAAAGATGAGGCTTTCTGCTCCCGTAAAGATTTACAGCCTCAGAAACCCTGCACAGGGTCGCTATGAGTTAGAACCGGCTCCACAGCACACACCACCACCACCATGTATAAAATGGAGTCCTGGTGTGGCTCTGTGGGATAAAGCACTGGACTGCAAGGTAGGTTTAAACCATAAGGTCAGAGGTTCAAACTCAACAGCCACTCCTTAGAAACCCTATACAGGATTGCTATGAGTTGGAAGCTACTCGATGACATTTAACAACAAGTATAAAGTATCCTGAGAAGTAAAGATCAGTTAAACTATGCTTATTCTTAAGGAGTTTGCCGTCTAGTAGCAGGTTAATGAGCATGAATATGTGAAAAATTACAAGGCCACAAGAGAAGGGCTGACAAATGAGATGGTCTAAGAGGACGCAGTACTCGGACTGGAACTTAAGGATGATAGGATTTCCGCTGGGGTTGAGTTTCTGTGGGAGCAGTATGAACACAAGGGCCCCTGGGTGGCACCAACAATATGCTTTTGGCTACTAACAGAAAGGTTGGCAGTTCAAACCCACCCTACGGTGTCAGGGAAGAAAAACACACTGATTTGCTACCATAGAGATTACAGTGAAGAAAAACCCCTATGGAGCCCATTCTGCTCTGCAAAATGCACGGGGGTCACGGTGAGTTGAAGTCAACACTACAACAATGGGTTTAGTTTGGTTTGGCTTGGTTACGAGCACAATGCAGACCAACTAACTTCCCATATTATTGGTCAGGTAAAGACTTTGAATTATGACTAAAGAATTGGAACAGATGTTAGAAATTAATTGGTCCAACTTCCCATTTAATCTAGGAATCCATTCTACTTGATGAAGAAAGAGCTCAGGAGGTAATGAAACACGGCTGTTTCAGGGACAACGTGAACCACAGCAAAGCACAACAGACTGAATATCTACATCTGTTTTCCATCTTGCTTCTGCTCAGAACTCCTGAGTGAACTTTGATCGAGTTCTTTAGCCTGTCTAAGACTTGTTTTTCTCCTGTGTCCTAAGGTTGTTCCACACTATCATTAACGTATGCATAAACTCTTAGCAAAGGAACCCTGGAGGTGCTATGAATTAGGTATTGGGCTGCAAACTGCAAAGTCTGTATTTCAAACCCACCAGCTACTCTGTGGGAGAAAAATAAGGCTGTCTGCTCCGGTAAAGAATCAGTAATCTCTGAAACTCTATAATGGGTCACTATAAATCAGAACTGACTCGGTGGCAATGGATTTGGAGGGTTTTTTAATTTTTGTTTTTGTTAAACCCTTAGCAGATGTTAGACTCTCCGTGTTCACCTTCTGCTCACTATTCTGAGTTCTTTCTGTGCCTCTTTCATAGCGCACTATGTTTAGGACTGACTGGTGAGGTAAGCTGTACACTTAGTCACTCTGCCGTCACACTGCACTGTTTAATTCACCTCCTCACCATTGCCTGAGAGGGCTGACTGGGCTCTGAAACCCCAGCACCCAGCAGTGTACCCAGGATAGACAATAGTGCTGTGGTTACAAGTACTAGCCTTGCAAAGCAGACAGTCAGAGGCTGAATTCTGCCTCTGCCTCTTATTAGCTACTTAATAGTTTCCTAGTGCTGCCAAACGGCACATAAGTGGGTGGCTTTAAAGAACAGAAATTTATTTTCTCAGTTTGGAGACTGAAAGTCCCAATCAGCATCTCAGTAGTTTCAATTCTTTCTTGTTGGTAGCCCTGGGCATGGCATGCCTTGGTTCCTTGGCTCCTTGGCTTGTAGACATCTTCACATAGCTTTCTCTCTGTGTGTCTCTGTGTCTTTCTGGTCTTTTTCTAACTCAGAAGTGATTACATTTTGGATCCATCCTATACTGGTTGTTGTTGTTGTCGTTAAGTGTCGTCAAGTTGGTTTCAACTCATCGCAACCCTGTATAGGATTTCCGAGGAATGGCCGGTAAGCTTGCAGTCCAGCGCATTAGCCCCCTCAGCCACACCAGGATTCCATCCCACACAGGTATGACATCATTAATGTAACAAAAGGAAAATCAAACAGGATGTCACTCACAGGAACTCAACACATATGTATTTTTGAGAACACAATTTTCTCCATAATATTAGCTATGTGACTTTGGGCAAGATCCTTGGGCCTCAGTTTCTTCAAAACTGCAAAGTAGAAATAAACCTCCTAGGCTGTAAAAAGGAATTCAAAAAGACCTTCTGCTTTTTAAAGCTCATAACACACAAGGAAAATTCTGAGTAGCAATTTACTATTGTTAAATTTAATCTACTTCTCACCTCTGTTCTCTCTTGGTTGAATATGCTGAATAAAATCTCTTTTCTCACTATTGCAACTTTGTGGCAATTTTCCTGTAGGACATGAATTCCCTTACTTGGGTAATCTATATTTGCTTTGTCTCATTTTTACTCCTGTTTAAGATTTTATAGTCTGTAATATCCCAGTGTCAGGCTGCGAACCTTAAGGTCAGTAGTTTGAAATTACCAGCCGCTTCATGGGAGAAAGATGTGGCTTTCTACTCCCATAAAGATTTACAACCTCAGAAACCCTGTACAGGGTCGCTATGGGTTGAAACAGACTCCACAGCACTTAACACAACAACAATATCCTGGTGTGGCGCTATAGGATAAGCACTAGACTGCTAACCGCAAAGTTAGCGGTTCAAACCCACTACCCGCTGTTCGGAAACTCTATATAAGAGTCACTCTGAATCAGAACCGAATCCGTGGCACTTAACAATATTTACATTTGTGAAGTTGGGGTCTCATTTCCACCCTAGAACCCTAAACAATGTTTAAGTGCAAGGATGCTTCCAGAAGGTTAGTGGTTCAAATCCAACCAGTGGCTCTGCAAGAAAAAGGCCTGGTGATCAGTCCCTATAAAAATCACTACTCTGTTCTAAGAATCTCTGGTGTGGCGCTATAAGGTAAGCACTGGACTGAGAACTACAAGGTCAACGGTTCAAATCTACCAGCTACTTCTCAGAAACCCTGTACAGGGTCGTTATGAGTCAGAATCGACTTGATGGCATTACACAACATGAGTCAGAACTGACTTCACCTCACTTTGTTGTTAAGCGTCATCGAGTCGGTTGTGACCCATAGTGACCCTGGCTAGAGTTTCTGAGGAGCAGCTGGTGAGCTTGAGCTGCCAACCTTGTGGTTCAAACCGACTTTGCAGTCCAGGACATTAAGCCTCAGCGCCACACCAGAATCGACTCAACAGCACCTAATAACAACAACGCTGTAAGTAACTACAACCCTTTTTTCTTTCTTTTGCTTTTTATTTGCATTTTATTTTAAGCTTAACTTACTCCTGAGCCGTAAGAATTTGTTTCTTCAGTTTCTTCTGGGATAACTTTTTCGTCTATGCAACCCCCTCTTCTAGTTTAAGAACAACGTGTTCCTTTTCAATGTGGCAGAGGGAACTCATGAAAGGGTTGATCCCACTATGAACTCAGGAAGTGCAGCTGCACATCTTGGGGGCTTTGTTGACCAGAATGTGCTCAGTGACCAGATAATCCACATCTAGCCCCTAAGATTCAGAATTATTCCCTGCATTTTTAAGCATGTGCAGCAAAAATTCTGCACTCCTTTTGAACCGACTCTATTATCTAACTCCACTGTTTTTAGCCTGGATACACCTACCAACGCCGCCACCATTGTTACCTCGAGATGGTGCCATTGCTTCTGCACAGTGACATCTTTAAGATACTTGGTTGCTTTTCGGATATACGTACCCTGGATGGCCTGGGCAGTTTGTTCTTAAAATGGGCCCGGAGATTTTAATATCTTGATTTGCATGATTTTGCGAGGTTTCCTGGGTTGAGTAGCGAACCATTTTGCAAGATTACCTCAGGTCACTTACGGAAAGAGGCTGCAGCTCTTTTCTTAAAGGGTAAATTCTTATAAAATAATTTTGCTGAGCCCCTGGTAGAGCAATGTCCCTCAAAACAGTTGAGAAAGGTCCAGGTGAGGGTGGGGCAGGCTCTCAGGGCCCCGAGAGGAGGAGTCCCAGCGACAGGGTCACGTGGGACGCGGGGCGGGTCTTTACGTGCGCTGGTCACGGGGCCCGGTGTTGACACTTCCGGGTGAGACCAAAGTGTAGCGGCGGAACCGGGGCTGGCCACTCAGGCGACAACCATGGCGTACAGTGGCCTCACGGTACCCCTCATTGTGATGAGCGTGTTTTGGGGCTTCGTGGGCTTCTTAGTGCCCTGGTTCATCCCTAAGGGTCCTAACCGAGGGTAAGTGCGCGAGGCCTTCCTTGGGAGGGACGCGCGGGGAGGACGGGTCGGGCCCCGCATCTACAGAGAACCTTTCTGGATGTTCGGCCCCAACTCGAGAGTCAAGTCTCGACCCCCTTGGATTGCCCCAGATCTGCCTATCCGCAGCAGCGTCTGCTGGCCCTTGGAAAGGACCTAGGGAGTCCTTCCTTGGAAACAAGTGTTAGGGGGATTTTTTTTTTTTTTTTTTTTGTCTCATCCTGGTCCTGTATGAGGAGCGTGAAGTCGGAAATAAGTTTATTCTGATTAAAAAAGAAGTTGAGGTTCTTCCCTAGTCAACTTTCGTTCCTTGACCCTGTCCTCCATCCAAATGTGTCTTCGTTTGCCTAAACTATAAAGAAACGGATCTAATAGGCAATGTAAATCGCTCTTTCTGCATCACATGTCGCAGTGACTTACGGGACACGCTTGTTCAACAAGGTTGAAGCCCAGGCCTTGCATCTAACTAGCGTCAGGAGGTAGCTGGGGCCTCAGCTAAAGCAGATTAATTGCTAAAGAGCTGGAGCTATTGTTTAGAAACCCCTGCGTCACACCAGTTTGAAGGACGTCTCTGCTCTTGTATGAGGCTATTAAGTTCTTGAAATGATTAATAAAGAAAACCCCCCCCCCCCCAGGCCACTTTGTTAAAGAAAGCTATATCTTTTTTGTAAATAAATATTCTTTTATTGTACCATAAAATTGAGTCTAATCTTCAAAGGATCCTGGGTACACCCTCATTCTGGTTCCTCTTTTGCATTTTAGTCATTTTTTTCTCAGCTCAGGATCACGTGGTGGGAAATAAGGACTGGTCATATTGTATCAGAAACACCATCTCTTGCTTAATTCTTGACCTTAATTGGTGGTTGTTGTTAAGTGCCATCGAGTCCATTCCAACTCACAGTGACCCTGTATAGGGTTTCTGAGGAGCAGCTGGTGAGCCTGAACCTCCGACCTTGCTGTTCACAACGATCTTGCAGATCAGCGCATTAACCTGCAGCACCACACCAGGACTGTGCAGTAGTTAATTCTATTGCTTTTATTAAAGGAAAGAAATGTTGCTAGTTTCTTTAATATCTTATGGCCTGACTTCTTTTTTTTCCTGAAATAAACTTGCTTTATACCTGTAACTTCTGTTTAGTCTAAAAAGAAATCATAACATTTTTGAAAGAAAAAATGGTAGCGGAAACATTAAGTCCTCCCTTCATAACCTTATCACCTTTAGCTTTGCTGCATAGGGTCATCTCTCCTGCTTATCATAGTTGATGAAGAGTGTAAGATTTTGATCTTATTAAAACAATTTGTATTAAATCCAGTGTAATTTCCAAAATTTGTTTTCTCTAACTGGAGTAGGAAAGCAATAAAGTGCTTCTTTGTTGTCTTCACCTTCACTTCTCTCCTTACCCTACTGCCTGCCTTTCCAACTTTCTACGCAGAAAAACATTTAGAAAGGGTCTTCAAAAAGTTCATGAAAAAAATCCATTATCCTTTAACTCCATTTTTCCATGAACTTTTTTAAGCCCCCTCATAGACTAGCACTCACCACTCTTAGAGACGAATTATCTTGTACCTAGCTCCTTTGGGACCTACCATGCTCAGTCTTTGGACCTGATGCCATTGTTGTTTTCCAGCGTAATGAAACTTCATCTGTTTCATTACCTAGGCTGTTCAGTTTCTAACCCAAGTGTCATAAGGCAGGCATTTGACCTGCTAGTTGATCTATTATCCAGATCCATTTCACAGCTCCACCCCAATCCTTGTATTTCCTGCTCTTGGCTGGACCTAGCAGGTCTTGAAGCACAGTACCTCCTAAGCATTACTGTGTTATATTTTGAGAAACACTGCTCCTATGCAGATGATCCTTGTGACCTTGGACAGCTGAGTTAAGTTTTCCATGGTTCCCATTTTCTCATTGTTAAATGAAAGAATTACTACTGGATTGTATTAGTTCCCCTGGATGTCCTGAAAAGACTTCAAATAAAAAACTTTTAAGTACACGAAGGAGTTTTACTGCTTCAAGGAGGATTATGGGGGGATTTTTAATATTGGAGAGCACTTCTGATTTGAGGGATTAAACATATCTTCATTGAGGAAGTACGGGAGTCACTGTGAAAAACACTTGAAGCCTTTAGAGATTCTGTGGATTCTTAAAAAGAAAAGAGGGAAAACATGAAAAACTGGAAGTCAGGAAAGCTGACCATAGGCATAAACTTGACTTTGTCTATCTTTTGACAATTGCAGGAAAGAATGAAAGAGTATAGGATTTCTATCTCCTTTAGCACTTGCATACCTCCCTATGTCTTCATCTGACTTCATCATTCTTCTGCCAATCTTCTTCTTGAATATTGCCCTCCCCCTTCTTTTATAATGTGCTCCCTATCACCTGAATTAGGGTGTATGTGTCTACTACCCTCTAGCCAGTGAATTACTCTCGCATCCCTCCAATGTTTCTTCTGGTATGAAACCTTTTCATGACTTTTTACAATAGTGGCCTCATATAATATTGTCCTTTTGTGATTGACTAATTTCACTCAACATAATGTCCTCCCAAGTTCATCCTTGTTATGAGGTATTTTGCAGATTTGTTGTTCTTCAGCTTTGTATAGTATTCCGTTGTGTGTATATATATCAAAGTTGGTTTATCCGTTCTTCCAATGATGGCCATTTAGGCTGCCTCCATCTTTTTGTTCTTGTGAATATTGCTATGTTGAACATTGAATTCCATTTTTCCCACAAACTATTTGAAGCCCTTTTGTATATACAGATCTAGAGCTAGATAAACCAAAAGCAACTGCTGTTGAGTCAGTTGCAACTCATGAGAACTCCATGTGTGAAAGAGTAGGACTGGGCTCCATAAGGTATTCCGTGGTCGAGCTCTGAAAAATAGATTTCTCTGGGTGGACACAGTGAGCTCATTAACCTTTTGTGCCCTCTAGTGCGTATGTGTGTGTCTTGTCTGTATCTTGCTTTCTCTCCACCAGGTCTATGTAGTCTTTCGGGTTTTTCGCAAAATGCACTCATGCAAATAACTCACACACACATGTAACTGGAAAAGCACTCTTAAGAGATTACCATTCTAAAGGGATGTGAAGTTTCTTAAAAAAAAAAAAAGCAATATTTGTGCAGAGATATTGTATACCTATTTTCTTTCTTTCTTTTTTTTTTTTCTTAGCTGAACCATTTGAAAGCAAGCTGCAGTCATCATGACATTTCACCCCTACCCACTTCCACTTGTAACCCTCAGCATAAAGACTTTAGGAACTGATTGATATTTTAATGACTTGAACTCAAACTTTGAAACAGGCACTCCAAAAGCACCTCAGCTGTTTCAGTTTCTGCACTAGTCTTGGAGAAAATAGGATAGAGAAGGGGTGGGATTGGGCGCATGAAGGAAGACAAGCAAAAGTGTGGAATTGAAAATAATGAAGAGTGATGTGTTTGGGGAATAGTAAGGGGACCTTACCTTCAGTAATGAAGGGTTGATGTATACAAGTAGAGGGAAGTGAGGAGGCTGGGTGGCAGGAATGGATTGCAAGAGTGAGGTCATCGATAGGTTATCAGATTTTAATTGTGCACTTGTCAAATATTTTTTCGCACAACCCTATACATGCTTATTTTTATATTATAAATCTATAACTGTTGTATTTTGATGGCTCGACCAAAATACATCCAGAATCTGACCAGTACTTGCTACCTGCACTGCTACCAGCCTGGTCCACTTGAATTGCTTTGTTGTTATTTTATAGAACTTTTTATTGTGACTTGATAAATGCTTGCAGAGATTATTGGTTTTCCATTCAACGATTCAAACATGTTTTGTGACATTGATTACAATCCCCACAATGTAGCATCACTTATTCAACTTCCTCCCTGTAGTTTCCATTTTCATTCCTCCTCCTCCCTAATTCTTCCTGCCTTCTGACCTTTATCCCTGGGAAAATGCTACCCATTTAAGAAGAAAAAAATTCAACAAATTACACGCTTTGTTTCATCTCAGTAATTGCAATCCCCTTCCTGCAACACCAGTTATCCTACTTCCTTACTGTGGCTTCCCTTTTGCATCTTATATTTCACAAATGAACAAAGTAAAAATATTTGATGTACACATACAAAACAAAAGCTATATATTCATTTAAATGTCCTAAGGGCATATTCTGCAAGTCAGCCTCCTGCCCACAGGCACATAGCCTTAGGCAGTCCCAGGGCCTAGAGCCTATAGCTGCTCCATCTCTCCATGTCATCACCTCTGCCACTGTTAATGCTGTCACTGCTTTTCTAGGTAGGATCTCATGCTGTGCCCATGCTCTTCCTTCTTGATGGTCCTGGGATCATGTTTCTGATATGAAACAGATTAATTACTCCCTGCTTTTAGTTACCTATCTTCTGCAATTACAGTTGTGATAATCACAACTAATATTGCTAACAATTACAATTGAATCATAAAATCCTATCAGCATCATCCCCCAACCCCTTTGAACAGATCCATCTGGAGAAGGGGCAAGCTATTCAGTGGGGAGTCTACCTTACCCCCTCATTCTGAAACTAAGCATACTCATGAAAGCTTGTAAGCCAGCCACTTTGTGCCTTTATAGCCCCCCATTTTTGATAGCCAGTGAGTTGAAACTAACTCAGCAGTACTTAACAACTTTCACAATGTCTAGCTTGTCTGTCTCTACCAACCCATTGGAATCTTGGTGTGGCACTGTTGGTTAATGCAATGTGCTGGGCTGCAAAGTCTGCTGGAACCAGGAGGCCTGCGGTTCAAGTTCACCAGCTGCTCCTCAGAAACCCTACAGGGTCACTATGGGTCAGAACCTGACTGTTACACTTAACAGCAACAACAGCATCAACCCAACGCACTGAGTAAACAAGCTTGATCCTTGATATGAAAAATCCTTATATTCTGGTTGGCATTTTGAGCAACTGCTTCCATAAGCAAAAGTCGAATTCATCAAATTAGGGCAATTTGCACTTGCTCACAATAT